GCTCGAACGAAATTCCACCAATGACGTCCAATGACATTCATCGGGGCCGCATCGCTTCAACTGCCTTCAAATTCTGATAGCCACGTCTTGTTATCGTGGGACGTGCTTTTAAGTCTATCCCACCCACATGCCGTAAGCGACCCGAGCCCGAGATCTGAAACTCCAACCACTGAAAGGCGCTTTCATTGCAAACACCACATGATTCCAACCTCTCTTATCACGAAATCTTGACACACATCGTTCGTCGCTATCGTTCCTTTTTATATTTCTGTCAAAAGTAATTACATTGAACATTCATTTCGCCCAGCGTTCTGATCTTACGTTACGAAAGGTCAGAACATAATGGAAGCACTGACTAAAGAAACTTTCACGTGATGACTTTCTGGGAGAGGTATAAAAGACAACTAATTAGGAAAACTACTTTTAACTCCAACAACCGGTAAATTTATCAGAATTGAATTTTTGTCCTCCGTTTACAATAGGTCTTTCAAGACTGCCTTATGATAGAAGCACTCGATAAGTTTGTCAAAGTACACTTCCAACAAAATTTTATTGGACGGCAATGCAAAATCTTCGAGATCTTGGACTTCACTTCACGAAATAGGAAAATACTGTTTACAAAGATTGTCGGTACACGTATTTGACAGATCAGAGGTTCCTTTGATAGTGGATCAGAAGAAAAAATGCAAAGCATTATCCGTGCTTTTAATCTGGAAAATAAACGGCATTAAGGAATAAGATATGCATCAATAGGACAATTTAAAATTTAAAAATCAGTAGCATACGGCAAATAAAATGTAAGAGACTAGAAAGAAGAAAATGAATTTGACTGGATCACCAGTTAATCATCCAAGTCAATCACTTCAGTGGGATTCCTCTTCGAGAAAAATTGAGAAAGGCGCTGATTATTTTGATCAATTTTGTCGAGCTTTCGCTTCAACAGGGGCTTTCTCGAGATAACGTTAGCAGATGCATTTCTGAAAAAAAAAGAAATATTCGGAAAAACTCATTTTATTTAAAATCCAATTCTGCTGAGATTTTCTTGCATAGGTATGATCCAGAAGAAGAACCCTGTCGCAGACACGGGGGAAATGGATTTTCGTGCGGGAAGTGTAATGATCGGTCGCAGTGGCCCATGATGCCAAAGCCAATGCCGCATGCGATGAAACTGTCGCCGCCCTACTGCAATCGATGTCTCCTGACCCATACTCGCATTCTGCAGTCGTCCATATCTCGCCGTCGAAGTAGGCATGTCACTGGAAATGACGTGGCGGTCAGCGCATTAGAAGTCGCGCGGATAAGCTGCTTTCAAAATACTTCGCTGGATATCAGCAAAACATCCTGGAAATAGCTCATCCATACGACTTCTATCGAAACGGTGGAAGCCATGTCATGTCCGGTAACACGCCCACTCAGACGGCGAGATAAGGACTGTACACCTCAAGCCCCTTCCTATTCGGTTGCACAAATTCAACAAACTATTTGATAGAAAACACGCGGGTGAAAACACGAACCTAGTCCAAAAAAAGCTAAATTACCTGATTTCAAGGCTGGCTAACGCTTTCGCAGCGGCATCCTGAACTCCACCCAAACCAGTAGGACGGTTGCTTTTCAAGCCTAAAACGGCATAAAAAATGTATGCAACAAAGCATGACATCAATAACCTACTATTAAGTACACGCTCCCGCATCGTTTTTGGAACACGAGGACTCGGTCTAAATGAGATTGAACAGATATTTGATCAGAAATTTCATAATCAAACTTGTCTCAATAAAAATGTAAACAAGGAAGCTTGTAAACTAACATGGAATCTAGTTTAGCAGGGTACTGGAGTGAAACGTCACCAGCAGCAGACTTGACTTCATCCTCATCATCAGACAGGTTCGCGAAAAGAGGTTTAGGTATCGAGCCTGTATCAGGCCTCGCTCGTGGAGAAACCTGGATTAAAGCAACAGTCCCAGCAGGGTGGGCGTTGTCGGAAACGACTGCAATCCCCTCGGCCGATTCCGACCACGCCCACTTCAGCTAAGGTGATGTAGCCGTTTCCGACCACGCCCACCCTGCTGGGACTGTTGCTTTAACCCTTTGACGACCGCCGTTATGAATGCGTCACTTCACTTCTTTCTAAATTTTTTCATCAATAATCATTAACTCTCCAACAATTTCACTATTAGTAATTAGCGCATTATTCCGCGAATTCGATAATGTATTTGTGTAGTTTTGAAACATAAAAATGCCAAAATAAACCCCTAAAAACGTGTCGCCACCGAGCGAAAGTGTGGCCCACCGGCGGGCCACACGGTCGTCAAAGGGTTAAGAAAGTCAAGCCAACAACAGAAGAGGATGGGTTTGAAAAAAAAATGAAAGAAAAATGAAAGGAATATTTTGAGAAAATGGGTTATTTAGAAAGCGGATACATAGAACTCACGGCTCTTGCACGACGTCTTAGAGCTGAAGCAAGAACATCTGCGTTCAGTTCGACTGATTCATTAAATCCCAGTGATTCACGTCTCGAAGGGCTAAATCATACATAAGAGTGTTGTCAAATATTTTTACATTAGAAACATTTCAGAAGGTACAAAGAGAGATAAAGAAGATGCAGAAATTTTGATTCCCGAGATTCGCTAGAAATAAAAAAGAACACCATGCCGCTGCCCTAACAAACTTTCTTGAATCAAATCTTATTCCAATCCAACGCGTGGATTTTTAACTAAAGTCAGGAAAAAAAGGACTTATATATTTCTTAGTTCAGATAAAGATGATTCGGATTGCAAAACAAGTTAAAGATAACTACTCTCGAAGACATCAGTCATAATAACATTTCTACAGCAACATAATCGTACTATATACCCAGCAGATCAAAGAGCATCCAGATTACTATATTAGGTTGTCTCATAAATAGTGTCGCTTTTTTTCAACCAGAAAATTTTCATCTAAATCCCCATGCTTTTACAGAGAGTTATATACCATTCGAAAGAGAATTGTCTGCTCTACAAAATATCGTGTTCTTCTTCCATCTATGTTCAATGGTTTTCAAATTTGAGGCATGCGAAATGGGAGGTCCCGCCGACAAAAATTGACCAAACCGACAACTAGCTCTAACTTTATGTTCCCTTCGGAGAAATCAATCAATGATGTACCCTCTACTTATGCATGACCTCTTCTAAACATTACACTATTAGGTTTCCCAACAAGTCGCATCATTCCATTTCCAGACCCGGTTTTTCAACCAGAACTCGACGGTCGAGCACCATTACCTGAGATCGAGGTCGAAATTTTTTTACAGCCGAGACATTGAAAAACTAGTAGAATTTCAAGAACAAGTCATGACTAAGTTAGGAATGTACGCCTGGTTGATTTTCTCATCTTCTCAGGGATAATTTTTTCAAAGAAATGCGGTCACTTTCGTGGACAAAGCACCTTACTCCTAAACCCTAAAATTCGAGCTAATTCCTAACAAACATCAAAACAAAACAAATGAGCGAATAGAGCAGAAGAAGTGCTCACAAAAGATATACCAGTTGATATAAAACAATAGCGTTTCAGAGGAAGAATTTCAATTTGAAAATTGCCATGGCTTATCGGTCGGCCAATTCGAAAAGAAACAGGGCAAACCTTTTTCGGCAACCTAAGGGTGGAATGTTCAGAAGAGGTCATGAGTAAGTAGAGGGTACATCATTGATTGATTTCTCCGAAGGGAACATAAAGTTAGAGCTAGTTGTCGGTTTGGTCAATTTTTGTCGGCGGGACCTCCCATTTCACAGGCTTAAAATTTGAAAACCATGGAACATAGATGGAAGAAGAACACGATATTTTGTAGAGCAGACAATTCTCTTTCGAATGGTATATGATTCGATGTAAAAGCATGAGGATTTGGATGAAAATTTTTTGGTTGAAAAAAAGCGACACTGTTTATGAGACAACCTAATACATGAAGTGGAACTGACCTTTGCTCTAGCATGAGGCTTTTCAGCTTAGGATTAAAAGGTGTCGAACTAATATTGGCAGCGCAGCGAACATCTCTGAGTTCTCTCTCAAGTGCCTGAATAATAAGCTAAAGTTATATCCGAAAATGTCAAAGTTTTAGATTATAGAATATGAAACAACAACATACGGTAACTACGTCTTTGAGATCATGCTCCTTCTTCATCATAGTTCTGACCAATTCCCGCTCTTTTCCCAGATCATCCTTGAGCTTTAGCTGTGTTTTCCTGGCCTCATCCAACTGCCTAAAAAGGGAAAATAATATGATAAACAAAGAATCATGACTAGAGCAAGCAAAACGACAAATGTGGATACCCATCTATTATTTACAATCACTGTGTCCAGCTTGGGCACGAAAGCGTAAAATAGTGTGGACACAAGTTACGAAGAGACAACCACGATAGAAAACACGTTTGCGTTCAAGAATACGGCGGGTGTCAATTTCAAAAAAAGTCCTCATTCACTGTCTCTTCGCAAAACCAATACATAGTAGGCACTTTGTACCACGCGACCTCAAAGCCTTCACCTTCCCTGCCGAATCCTGGAATAACTTCCAACTCCTGAAAATTTTAGCAGAAATTCCAATCTCTTTCGTAGCCAGGAGGATGAAAAGGAATTCTCAGGATTTTTTACTGCATTCAGTGCTTTTTGATGTGAGTACCTCATCAAAAACCACTGAAGACATCCCAATGCGTCCTTATCTCCTTTGCTATGCTCAGTGAAGGTAAAAGCTTCACAAAACACAACTAATTTTATCCCATTCGTGACAATGTCAGCCACCGGTGGCTGCCAAAGATCTCACTCGGGACAATGGTATCCACCGTTGGCTGCCGGGTTTCAAATGGAATTTGGAAAGTTTTCTTTCATGAAAAGAATCTTCATACCCTCATTCATCTACGCCAGCCCTGGGCAGAGGAAATCTCCGTCCACTCAAATTTTATTGAAGAAAAATCTCCTGACTGTACTGCTATTGCGCAATCCCGCGCGGTCGCGAATGGGTTAACATCGGTTCCTCAACATATACATTCCAGGAGGTATCATGGTGTACAGAATGCTCGATCCTGGGGTGACGATCATTCTGTGCACCACAACACGTCCTACAATCTACTGATTTCTAAAGCTTGGTGGAATTAAGGCTCTTATGAGAGAACTGAGGTACAAGTGCGAAATGGTGTCGAGTACTTGCAATAGCAAAAACTCCAGTTCCATTGGAACGAGCCTCACCTCCTTAATATATTCAGAAATTGTGTCATTTCAAGACCGCCATCGGCCTTGAGGTACTTGTCCATCGCAGAGTCATCTTTCGCTGTTGTTACTGCTTTGTAACTGAAAAGTGGTGTTATAAAGGTTTCAAAAATCTGAACTTCTTGTAGGAATTAAGCTGCGATGTGCTCAAAATTCCACCCATGGAAAATTTTTGTCTGCGACTATCACAACAAGACGTTTTGAGTCTTCGAACAATTCATATCTGGACCTGACAACTCCATTCCCTTTAGGGTTCGATGATAGTTACGAGAAGATATGGAGTTTCATAAAACATACAATTCACATGCACGAAGTCGGTTTTTCGTTTTCTCCAAGGTCCTTTCAAGCTCCTGCTGATCGACCAACATCATTTCAAGCTGCCGATTTCGAGCTTGCAATGACGGGATTTTTTCACGATAACATTTCTTCTCTCTGTCCAGCTGAAATATTCGCAGGATTAATCAACTTATGAGAAATCCAAAACAACCTTCAACTTCCTTTATGTATAATGTATAGATGAAGGAACGACTAGCAAAAGAAATACCTTCGCTTCAAGACTAGCAACGACATTTTTGAGTTTGCGCACTTCTTCCTGAGCTTCGAGGTGATCACCCTTCTCTTGCTCAAGGGCTATGGAAAGAGCTTCTACCTAAATTATGATTTTCTTCACAATATTGAAGTAAATCGGAAATTTAGCAGAGTAAGGGGTTTTTGAGAAAAGGAAAACAAGCTCAAAAAGAATGGCCATAGAGTCGCCACGTCTGATGGCCCCTTCCATCATAGCCAGGTCCATTGCACATTTGACTTACATATGATTGCCTAATTAGATGCCAAAGCCATAAACAGCCGAGGCTGGGCACTCGAATCGGGGACAAGTATGTATAAATATGCTCAGGTCCTGTGCATCATACTGTTCCACTACTCCCCTTTTCAACCAAACTTATAAGCCCTATCAATAACAACGATCCATTCATATAAAGTTCATGCGCAGCTAGAAAAAAGACAAAGGAATAGTTCTGCTACCTACAACCGGTTCCCAATAGAATA